ATAATTTACAGAAGCTTATTTTGAAAACTGAAAAAAAAAATTGTCATAAATGATTTCACAGATAAAGGCTAGTAACAAAATCAGTTTTAATTTCAAATTTTGATCCTATCCCAAAAACCTTCTAGACTGATACCTACCATCAAGATTAATTTATAAATATATTTATCATCCTTCTCTACTGTCATTTTTCGATCACATAAAAAAAAATACCAAATCCTGATACATCTTCGTTCTTTAGTAAGCTATGATCACTCCTTCAACATTTACCTCGAAATGCTTCATAACTATATATATATATACTCTTTCCTTTTTAATTCTTTCTTCTCAAATGGAAGCCTTAAAGAAAAGGAAATAAAAGTATATGGCAACCGAAACATCGAGTTCGGAACTCAGTACTTCATCAACTCGTCACCACTGTTTTTCTAGTTTTTGGTTTCTTTATTAATCATGTTAGTTGTTTTATTTTTTATAAAAATAAAAGTATTGTTGGCGAAATACCGAGTTCATAACTCATCACTGCAACTCGTCACTTTTCGTTCTTGTTTTGACTTATGTTTTACCGAAGCTAAATGGCCATCTTCAACATTTATCATTCAACTTATTAATTAGATGTTTAAATTTTGGGTGATTAGATTTAGGGTGGTAATATATTAATCTTACGCGCAACTTTTCTATTAGTAGTATAATTATCTAAATTAGGTCATTTATTTGTTTAATTGTAGACGGAGGCTACTAGGTGAACGTTTCGGAGGTTATTTACCTTGAGCGCAACTTAAGGTAATTTTCAATGTCCATCATCTTTAGAATCTCGTTAGGAAATTATTTTGAAATATTGTGTGCCAATACGTGCTTATGTTATTATATGTGATGAGTGTGGTAACGTATGATATGCTGGAATCATATTTATACTAGTTTTCTATATTTTGTGTACTAGTATAAGTATTTTTGAAAATTTGATTAATTGATATCGTATGAGTTTTAAAATAATTAAAATCTTGGGAATTAGATGATTGCTTATATGTAATTGATGGTCTCCAAGGCCTATTGGGAAATGAGTGGTAATTAGTATGTCATGTAGAATGACTATGTTCTAATAACACTGAAATTACAATATTGTTACTTGGGATTAAATTGATTTGTGCAAAACTTGTGTGCAATGTGATCGGACAATTTAATCTATTAAAATGTACATTGAAATTAAGAAGGGAAATGAAACCCGAATGGGTGAAGAACAGGTTGCCCACTAGTAGTTATGGTTGCTACTAGTTGGTTTAAATTAACGTATATTGCTGTTTAGTCTTCCTCCTAATCACTAGGTATTAGTGAGGGGTGTGCACACTAGGGACATTCTGTTTTATTTTATGGCCATTTGGGGTTACACGCGACCCCTCTATAAAGTAGGTGGGGACAGGGACTAGTCTCGGCTTACTGGCGTTCTCTTTCCCTTTCTTAATAATAAGCAATAAAAATGTTATGTGACAATTTGATATTGGTGTATTATTATAATGTCTATGTAACTGTATTATGTATAAAATATTTTTGAACTAAAATTATTTATTTTACGGGATGGAGTTGGAATTACTCTGTTTATCTGATTTTGGGAGTTTTTTCTCTTTCATATTTCTGATTTATTTTGCAGGTTGGTAAGAGGGTACTCGGTTACGTGTGAGGAGATGTTAGAATAATCACGTAGCTAAGACAATTTAGTTTACTTTTTAACTTAGTTATTTTCCTTTTTTTTTTAACTTTATTTAAAATGTTTTACAGTTTGAATGTATTGACTATTTTATTTTGCCACCACTTAGACCACTTAGTTTATTAAATTATATTTTGTTTTGCTTTGCATTTGTTTTCTACGGAAAATAAGTGTAGCAGTAACACTCCCGAGGTTTGGTGGTTGAGTTTTGAAAGTTAAAAAGGTTACTATATTGTTTTAAAAGATTCAAATTCTGGGGTGTTACAAATTGGTAACAGAGCCAGGTTTTTCAAAATTTAGGGACTAAAATGAATTAAATTAAAGGCTTAGGTTTAAAACTTGTATACAAGTTTGTAAATTGATTTTTGATTAGGAAAACCGTGAGTGTGGGAATTACGATAAAGGATCTATATGTTTTATAGTACTTCTATTAAGTACTTATGATGTGGTTATTTATTTTCCTTTATTAGACAATGGTACAAGAGTGTAAAACTGCAAGATAGTCAGGTGCTAGAAAGAGTACAAATGTATTACCTGATTCTCCCTATAGGATTCGTATGAAGTACAATGAAGACATTCAACGTTATGTCTACCGTTTGAATCTTTGCATTGAACATTTTGATTACAATGTGCTTGAGGGCGAATTTAACTACCTTCCTCCGGAGAGACGATCTCAAATTCTCTTACACACACTACTTGTGAGTGGAACCTATTCTCAACTTAAGAAGAAGTATGCTGATTTATACATTGAGGGTGAACCAAATGATAAATACTATTATAATGGAAGATGGATCCCTACTGTGGAATACCTTGAGAAGGCGATGATGGAAGCCAAGCGGGAATTTGATTATAACTGGATGATGATGATGATGATGAGGAGCCTCAAGAAAATGAAGCTCGTGAGAGTCAGGGGGAAAATGATGGTTGAGTTTTTTTTTTTTTTAATTAAGTTGCATTTAGCTTATTTAGTTTAAAATTTTATAATATATTTACAAATAAAAGCTAGTTTCTTATGATTAGAAAATATAGTATAGTTTTGGTTTATTTGTAACCAGTAGTTTATTGAACTAATTAGCACAAGCTAGTGTGTCATTTTAAAGATGATTTTCATTCTCTCTTGGTTTTGCAATAAATAATTTTCGATAAACATATTTATAATTTGTCATTTATTAATTAACTTAATAAAGTAGTATCATTTCGTTTTTTTTTATCTATTGTATTTATATAAAAAGAAGCACTTATTTTCTTGTGCTTACTTTAGTCAAGTATAGTAATGACTTGGTTGGATTATAGTGGAATCACAAAAGCAATGCGCGAATTTATAGTCTAATGCTAAGTTGATGCATTATTTGGTTTGAAAATCGGCTAACTCTATGAATGTTATAGAGATTAATAAATTGCTTGATTCTTAATGTCTATATGTACTAATGATGTGTTACATGAAAGAATGTGGTTGATAAATTTAATTGCAATTTACACGATCTAAAGAAATCGTGTTAAAATGTGTTTGGTGGTAACACTAGTGTTGAAATTGTGCAGATTGTGTATGCAAAATTACAACGTTTACACTAGGTCTCGTAGGAGAAGAATTGCACAGATGGTTGAGACTCCCGAACAACTTGCTGCTAGGTTGAGAGCTCTTGAGCAAATGAACCAAAACCTTGGAATGTTGTTGCAAAACCAGCTGAACAACAACAACAACAACAACAACAACAACAATGACAATGACCTCAAGCTGCCATGGCTAAGAAACTTGTTGCATTGAAACCTCCACTATTCATGGGGAAGGAAGATCCCATGTTGGTTGAGAACTAGGTACGTGACTTTGATAAGATTTTTACAGCTGCTGGTACCCCTGATGCTTAGAAGGTGGACCAAGCCACTTTCTATTTACGCGAGGTTGCTGATATTTGGTGGGAAAATGAAGGAGCCATTATAAGAGCTCAAAAGAACTTTAACTGGGAGGCTTTTAAGAGAGCAATCAGGGATCGTTTCTTTCCTGAGCATATCAAGAGATAGAAGTACAACGAGTTTAGTAGGTTTAACCAAACTGCTGGTATGAGTGTGCATGAGTATGCTTAAAAATTTAATGATTATGCTAGGTTTTGTCCTAATGTTGTGCCTGACAAGAGTACCAAGGCTCAGAAGTTTGAAGATGGCTTGACTTTTAGGATCTAAAAGAAGGTGATTGGGGTTGTACCGCTGCTACCTATAAGGAGGCCTATGATATAGCTTGCAATATCGAAAGGATTTTGAAACGTGAACAGGAGGTCAAGGATAGGCATAAGAGGAAGGGGAATGGTGAGAGCTTATCAAACCATCAAGGATATGACAAGAGACCACGCTTGGGGGTAATAACAATGAGAATGGTGGAAATGGTCAGCAAGGAGGACGTAACAACAGCAATCGAAGCAATAACCACCGGGGCCAGGGACCACAGAATCAACAAGGACCTCGCAACCGACCATGTTGTAAATGTGACAAGAGCCATCTAGGACGCAACTGCAATGGAGATTTGCTTACTTGCTTTGAATGTGGGGAGGTTGGTCACAAGAAATTTGAGTGTCCAAAGAAGCAAAATTGCAACAATCAAGCTTAGAATGGGCAAGGTAACAACAATGGCAATAATGGAGGTGGTTATGGGAGGAACTCAAACTACAACAACTGCTTCAATAACAACAATTCTCAAGGCTAAAATGGCAATGCTGAAGGAGGGAATTAGGGGAGAGCATGGGACGGGTACCCGTTCCAATAACGTTATTGGTTCGGGTACCCGATAACCGTTAAGGCTAAAACCGATACCCGAAACCGTTTTGATAAGGTTCGGGTACCCGTAAATTCGGATACTCGAAAATACGGTTACCCGAACCAAATATCCGAACCGAACCAATAAGCTGAATTTTTATTTTTGGGTCTTTTTATTTATTTAAAATCTGCTTTGCAATTTGTTTTTAGATGCTTTTTACTAGTTATTTTTTTTACTTCCTATTTTTCGAACTATAACAATTGAAATTAAATACACAAATAACAAAAATGATTACAACTAATCAACTATCGCTGCCTTCCGCTTTGACAGCCTACCAATCGTCCAATCCCTATCCTTGAGGCTGCTGCTTCCTCACCTCTCCTACCTGGCTGCCTGTCCTCCTTGTACCCACCTGCTTAATAATATTTTTGTTCAAACTTCCACCTGTTTTTCTAGTATAAATTATTGTTATTAGTACTGTGATTTTTTTGTAACAAATATCAGCCTAATAGGCTGATATTTAAACCTGAATACACATAACACAACACATCAACCCGATTACAAATGAACAAATACTTGATACAAACATACTGGTTTTTCAAAAAAAAAGTCCATAGTTAACAATAATAAACCAATACATAACAAAAAAAAAGTCCATAGTTTATAGTTTTAGAAACAAAACCAGTCCATAGTAAACATAATTCATCAAATACTCCAAGCCTTCAATGACTTCCGGCCTTCAATACACTCACCACCAACCTTCATGATTATAAGTTGCTGCCTCTAATCATCATCAACAAAGAGAGAATGTTCCTCACCAATAGGTAACATTTCTTCAAAAAAAAAAAAAAAAAAAAAAAAAAGTTAATGAATAATTAACAAGAAGATAATGAGATTAAAAAAAAGAGAAAATAATTAAATGTTACCTGATTCAATTTAAACGTAACCAATCCTGTGCACAAATCAAGGCTTCAACCATCTTAGTTGAGAGTGAGCTACGAAATGAATCAAGCACTCGACCACCGGTGCTAAAAGCTGATTCGGAAGCGACTGTTGACATAGGAATGACAAGTACATCTCTAGCCATGAGAGCTATTGTTGGGTACCTTTCACCATATTTTTTCCACCACCCCAAACAATCAAAGCTTTTTCCGGCAGGATTAACTTCTCTATCATCTTCTAAATACTTGGCCAACTCATTTTTCCCCTGTACTCCAACACATGAACCCACCTCCTTTTCAAATTCTAATTCCGCAACATCTACATCAGAATCCATATCTTCTACTTCCTCCGGAAAATCAGAAGTTTTAGGGGGAATGGACTCATTTGGAGGGTTTTCAAAAACATAAAGTTCATACATGTCATTCAAAGTTTGCATCACTTTATCACACAAGTATTTAGCTTTTTCAGAATCATATAGTTGATTAATTGCCCATTTAGTATATCCCATTTTCCGCCTAGGATCAAGAATGACAGCAATATACAACAAGAGATTCACATTATCAACATTTTCCCAATACTTGTCATGCTTTTTCTTCATTCCACTAGCCATTAAACTCACCCTCACATCATTACTCATCACTTTTTTCTTGATTAACACACTAATCCCAACAAGTTCTTGTAAATACACATTAGAGGTGATATACAACGAGCCGGAAACTCGTAGAGTAGCATCATAGAATATTTTAAGGAAGAAAAGAGGCAACACGATCCCATTCACTAGGTTCAGGCAACCCATCTGACTTCTGTAACTCATACCTAAATTTACCACCATCTGAACATTCAAGCAAATTAAAAGCCCTACGATATGCCAAAGCACCTTCTAACATTAAATAAGTGGAATTCCACCTAGTATCCACATCTAAACAGAGAAAATGTTTTGACTCCAACTTTTCTTGTTTAACACAACTCATAAACTTTTGCAATCTAGCATCCGATGATCTTACATACCTAACAGCACAACGAATTCTTTTTATTGACACATCACTTTCTTTCAATCCTTCTTTAATGGTTAAACTTAATATGCGAGCACAACATCTCATGTGCAAAAACCGACCACCCAAAACTAAAGTCTTCCAACTTTCAAACCTCCTTTTCAAATATTGAATGCCAACATCATTTGAACTTGCATTATCTCCAGTGACAGTCATTACTCTAGAAATACCCCATTCAAGTAGACACTTTTGGACAGATTTACCAATTGTTTCACCAGAATGACCAGCAATTATACAAAAATTAATTATTTTTTTTTGCAATTTCCTATTTTGGTCAATAAAGTGAGCGGTTAAACACATGTAATTCATATTTTGGCAAGAAGTCCAAGTATCAGTGGTGAGACTTATACGTGAAGTGCACTTGCTAAAAAAACTTTTCAAACTTTTTTTCTCATCCAAATAAATCCTAAAACAATCTCTAGTCACTGTCCATCGAGAAGGAATAATGAAGAAGGGTTATGTTACCTTCATAAAGTTGCGAAAACCTTCATGCTCCACCATTCGAAAAGACATTTCATCCATAATCACCATCTTTGCCAGAGCTTTCCTATATCTTCTTGATTGAATTTCCACAACTCAAGTCTACCTTTTTTTTGATCCACAAGATTCCCATCAAGAGTTTGTTGACTAAGGGACAATAGTTGCTGATTTTGATCAATGTTCGAGGGGTATTCCTTACACCGCTTTATGTGGTTCTTCATGCCGGAGGTACCTTGAAGTGATACACAGCCAATTAATGTATGACAATAGATACATGCAGCCTTGTTTTCTCCATCCTTCTTTATAAAATGCTCCCAATGAGGAGAGCACCTTTTTATAGTTTTTTTTTGAAGTTTCACTTAAGGGGGCAGCAGCATCAGCAGCTCTAGAAGGTTGGTTTGATTGATTTTGCTGCTCAAAGGGGTCATTATTTTCCGTCATTGGACAAGGGTCATACTCCCAAGGCTCGGGAGGAGGACTTGGAATTGGGGGAGCTTGACTTGTAGCCGATGAGTCTTCCATATCCCCACTACTTCCAGATTCCATACACTCCTACAAATGAACAAAACATATAAGTTCAATCATGTATACACAAATAACAAGAATGAGTCATAGCTAACAATGGTACCACCAAAGTTCACAGACAAGAAACAAATAAATGAACAGCTAGTTTACTCAACTAGAAATCAGTAATTATGATATTTTATATTAGAAAGATTACACTAAGCATAATTGAAGGCTTTATAGTTTGAGTACTCACTTCTCAACAACAAGAAAACATAAATCCCATTCAACTAGCACTAAGAAAAGTAGAAGACTTTATATGTAAAAAAAATAAAAATAAATAAATAAATAAAAAAATAAAAAATAAAAAGTTCCTTTATAAAAAGAACAGTCTCTGAGAAAGAAGTTAAACAAGTTAAGGAATAGAAACCCTTTTTCCAGGACCCATGAGGCCATAGAGCCTCGCAAATGGGTGTATCAACAGATCCACCTTACAGTCATAACCCATAAGTCAGTCATTATAAAATGAAAAATGGGTGAGTTCTATTAAATTCAAAGGAAACGTCTGACATAATTTTTAAGAAAACAACATATACCAATATCAACATCAGCCCAGTTCTTCTAAGTTCTAACACAATGTAGTAGGTAGTTGTGATACCTATAATTAAAATTAAATTAAGTATATAAAAAAATAATAATAACAATGATAAATTAGTATTTGTCTAAGAAAATAAACTGTTGATAAGCTTAAGTTTCCATTTTTTCTTTGTGAACAGCTTACCATCTACTTATCAAAAATGATGAGGAATGCATTCACTATAATCAACAGCAAATTTTTATCTCTAAAATGTTTATGAGCAAGTGACATTTCTAAAACAACAGTACAACCATTTAACTTTTGACGGTCAAAGAGAGAGAGTTGTGTTGTTATCTTCTCGACAAGAAATGCTAGAATGGCACCAATAAAACACAGGCAAGGTTATACAATCAATTCAATCAATAATCAGATTGTCTAATGTCTACTATACATAAGAAAAGAAGGGAGCCAAGAATGGGGGTTTTTAGCTTCTCATTAGAAGAATGACTGATAAAAAATTTCTTTTAAACAGCAAAAATAAATACAAAACAGGTCACTTCCAGTATCAAATATTCTATATTTGATTTGATTAAGTTAGCTATGGTTCTTAGAATATTTTAAGCGCGATTGTAAGTTAGTAACCTCAATTTTAACCCCCATAACAAATAAGATGCATACATACTTTTTACACTACCCAGATACAACAAAGAGGAGTATAACATGCAATGGTAGTATGGTACCACTGATTATCTCAGTCTGATGCACATTACCCCTTCCAGAACCATTGATTGGTGTATGAATGAACTACTCATATTAAAACTAAATTAAGTCATTAAGATTGTGAGATAGAACAAGATACGACAAATAGCCAAATTCATGATTCTTCTTACTATCAGCAACATCAATCCCACCTTACTCACTCATCCAAATCTAACAAACACAACTTGACAAAAAAGAAAAAAAAAAACCCCTCAATTCTGAAAACCAAAATTAATCATTCCTCAAAAAAGCAAAATAATAGTATCACAATAAAAAAAAATTAGGACAAAAAAACATTTATGAATCCGAAAATCAAACCACAAATAATATAAAATGTAAATTACCTCAATAGTTGCTTCGAGTCTTCGACGGAGGAGTGAAACCTCAGAAGCCGCTTCGATGGAGAAGTCGAAGTACGCTTCAATGGAGGAGATGAAGGGGTTAAGCGACGCAGCGTAAACGTGAAAAGGCCCCAAAGTTCGAAGAACCCTAAATTGAACCAAGGATCTGGAAAAACAAGAGTTTAGGGTTAATTGAATTCAATCAATTCATTGCAAATAATTAGATCTGGGAAAGGGATAATTACCTGAGGTAACATTGGCAAAGAATAGACTTGGAGAATGGAGATCAGAAAACGAGAGATTAGAGAAGAGGAGGAGAGAGAGGGGGATGGAGGCTGAGTGAGTGATTGTCTGACTGAAAAATGAGAAAGAACAAAGAATAGGGTTTTTCACTTTCTTGTTTCATTGATTTTCTGTTTTTTTTTTTTTTTTTTTTCTAAAAAAAAAAGGATTTTCGGGAAATTCGGGTACCCGAAAAAGCGTTAACGGGTACCCGCAACCCGTCCCGTTAAATTCTTAAGGGTTCAATTACCCGTCCCGTTTTCTTTTAATGGTTCGGGTACCCAATTTTTCGGTTTGGTAACGGTTCGGTTTTTCGGGTTTTTGGTTTTTCGGATTTTTTTGCTCAGCCCTAGAGGGTATGGCCAAAACAACAACACAGTGGTGGAGGAAGCAACCACAATGGCAATGGTAGGGCTAGAAATGGAAGAACCTATGTCATGAACCCGAGGGGGAATAGTTACTCTTACCAGGAAGTTGTTTCAAAACCAGGGATCTGTAGGGTTTCGTAGTGACCCGACACTACGCGGAAGGAAACCCACCAAGACCCGCCCCTTAATTAAAGCAATTAACAAGCATAAATAAATTAATCATACAAGATTAAGTACGAGAATTATACCTTTGACGCGTGCTTCGCTCACCGAGGAGCTCTTACTTCAACCTCGAAAACACGAGGCCTCCGACGGGATCGTACCCTCGAACCCGACCCGAGCGTCCTAAGTCTCGAAGGTTAGTCGAGACCCGGACAAATAAAACTATGAGTTTTACGAATCAAAGGTTTACTCAAATCAAGAGTTGCCTTTTTAATTCCACTCAAGGTTGTCTCTAATCCCAATACCAAGCTTGGTATTTATAGGGAAATGATCCCTTGATTTCCAATCTCCCATCAATGTGGGAGAGTTGGTAAAATGACAATTATTTAATTCTAAAATCAAATAATTAATCAACTCAATCACAAATCGACACTTGGCCTGATTATAGAGAAAGCCAAGTGAGGACCATGGCTTGGGGGGGACCATTGCCTTGATCCCCAAGGCCTTGGATTGGTCCCCACACCCTTTGCACAAAACCGGCTAAGGGGTGCCAGTTGGCTGCCAGCTAGCGCGCAAGCTGTGGCTGCCAGCTAGCAGCCCCTTGCTGCCCAGCACCAAGCCAGCCAGCCAATGCACGCTGCTGCTGGGCTGTGCTGGTGCTATGTGCTGGCGCTGGGCGCTGCTAGCACCTAGTGCTGGCACTGGCCCCAGCAGCCACGCACTTCTCTCTCTCGCGCGCCATTGCTAGCACAGCCAGCATGCGTGCTGCTAGCGAGCCACGCATGCTGGCCCCTTCCTTCGTACCATCCACACTGCGCACCATGCACCCCTCGCACACGCATCAGCTAGTGCCTAGCACTGCTATGCTCGGTGCGAGGCACACACACACGCACCAGCCCACACGCATCACAGCGATGCTGTGCGAGGTTGCTGTGCGAGGCTGCGAGGTGCATACGCACACACACGCACCATCCCACACGCATCATTGCGATGCTGTGCGAGGCTACTGTGCGAGGCTGCGAGGAAAGGCTGCGAGGTGCATACACACACACACGCACCAGCCCACACGCATCATTGCGATGCTGTGCGAGGCTGCTGTGCGAGGCTGCGATGAGAGGCTGCGAGGTGCATACGCACACACACGCACCAGCCCACACGCATCATTGCGATGCTGTGCGAGGCTGTTGTGCGAGGCTGCGAGCCACCCACGCACACGCACGCACGCCCCTGGCATTGCGATGGTGCTGTGCGTGGCGCCATGCCTTGCGATGGTGCCTGGCAAGTGCTGCGAGCTGCGATAGGCCACCATATGCACCCAGGCACCTGGCTAGCGCGTTGCTAGTTGCGATGGGCAGCCTGGAGCTTGTGGTGCCTTGCGATAGGCTGCCATACGCATGCCTAGGCTGCGAGGGTGCACCTAGGCTGCGATGGTGCCTAGCACACCATGGTGCGCCTAGATACGGCTACGCTCATACTTGTCGATTGTGATTTTGTGACGTTCGGTCTCGACGCCCTAGGCTCAATTTCCGACGTCTGTATTCGTAAAACTCTGTCGACTCATTAAATCCTTTCGGATTAATTCGTCGTCTCGGATCGGTAATTCGATTGGGTTCGACCCGAAGGGTTCAGTTAAGATTAAGCTGTAATATCAATTTGACCTTGATATTACTGATCGGAAGCGGCCTCCACCTAGGCATTCCGATCACTTGACCTTACTGAAGAATTAGCTCTGTAATAATTCTGAACCCTTTATCAGAAGAATACACTTGTTGGAAGGACACCATTCCTTTCAATCTCCCACTTATCCTTCCAGACAAGTGTGTATATTGTGTATAGCTCATTTCCTCTGTCTCTTAATGTTTCTTCGTGAACTATAAGGTAAGATTCTTTGTCATCCTTATTACGTTCAAAAGTGTTTCTCGATCTCCGAGTTCGACTGTCAAATAAGCAGATGATTTCTAAAATCCATCTGAGCATGGCCATGCATTTTACAGTCTCACTCTTCAAGCGGCCTTTTAAACAACAAAACATTTTCCCTATTGTTAGTAGGGGGACAATCCCAGTCTTGTATTGTAAGTTCTTCTTACTAAGAGGACATAGACTCCCGAGTGTTCCCGTTATGATCCCTAGTTACGGCAGACGTTTGGAAACATCAAAGAGCCTAGTACTCAAACAAGAAAACTTCACAGTACTCATGGTCTGAGGAAATAAGTTCCGATAGCCATAATGAGAAATGTACTTATGACAAAATTTAAATTTTCTTAAAGTACTCTCATAGGTCTTATCCAGTACAGTTCCAAACTATACCTGTGCAAACGATTTATGACTGTCACGTCCTCGCAGCACAAGAAACGGTGCTGTAAATCATACTACACACTAATCTATGGCGGTCATCAATCGTCCATCTGTTAGATGACCTCGATAAGGGATACTTTTCGATTTAATATTCAAAATTCACTTAACAGGTGTTTCTTTATCCAAGACATGGTCTTGATACCCCGTTTTGAATATTTCCATAAATCGAATGGACTCATTATTTAATTCTAAACCACAATTAAATAGTAATGGAGTGAACGATAATTTTACACAAAAATTAATTACTCCATTAATGAATGGTTTTAGTACAGTGTCTTACATTAAATCAACCCGTTTAATTAAAACACGTGTACAGGGAATTTCAAAGCCATTCTCCACGATGCTTGATTCCCATTGCCTCAATGTGCTTGTTGTGCTTCACTTGAGGCAAAGGTTTAGTCAAAGGATCGGCTACATTATCATCTGTGCCGATCTTACAAATTCTGATTTCACCTTCGGATTTCCATTCCCTTATCATGTGAAATCGCCGTTGCACGTGTTTGACTTTCTGGTGTTCTCTTGGCTCCCTGGCCTGAGCGATAGCTCCATTATTATCACAATAGAGGTCTATCGGCCCCTTGATTGAGGGTACAACACCAAGTTCACTGATGAACTTGCGAATCCAAACAACTTCCTTGGCAGCTTCCGAAGCGGCCAAGTACTCGGCTTCAGTTGTAGAGTCTGCAGTGGTGCTCTGCTTGGCACTCTTCCAGCTAAACGCTCCTCCATTCAGACAGAATATGTACCCCGACTGCGACTTGAAGTCGTCTCTGTCAGTCTGGAAGCTAGCGTCGGTGTAACCTTCAACAACCAGTTCTTTGTGGCCTCCATACACCAGGAATTTATCCTTGTTCCTCTTCAGGTACTTAAGGATGTTCTTGGCCGCAGTCCAATGCGCCTCTCCTGGGTTCGATTGGTATCGACTCGTTGCACTCAGGGCATACGATACATCTGGCCTTGTACATATCATGGCATACATGATCGATCCGATTAGCGAAGCATATGGGATCTGATTCATTCTTTCTCGCTCAACAGGTGTTTGCGGACACTGTTTCTTGCTGAGATTCATGCTATGGGACATGGGTAAATGCCCTATTTTGGCATTTTCCATGTTGAATCGAGCCAGTACCTTATCAATGTAAGTACTCTAGCTTAATCCAATCATCTTCTTAGATCTATCCCTGTAGATCTTGATGCCCAATATGTACTGTGCCTCTCCTAAGTCCTTCATTGAAAAGCACTTTCCCAACCAGCCCTTTACGGACTCCAATAATTTTGTGCTGTTTCCAATGAGCAGTATGTCATCGACATACAGGACTAGGAATGCAATATCACTCCCACTGACCTTCTTGTATACACAAGACTCATTTGGATTCTTGATAAAACCAAACTTGCTGATGGCTTCATCAAATCGCAGATTCCAACTTCTGCTGGTTTACTTTAGTCCATAAATAGACTTCTTCAGCTTGCAAACCTTTCCAGCGTTGCCTGGATCGACAAAACCTTCTGGCTGTGTCATATACACAGTTTCTTCCAAAATCCCATTAAGGAAGGCGGTTTTGACATCCATTTGCCATATTTCGTAATCGTAATATGCAGCAATCGCTAGGATGATCCGGACGGACTTTAGCATTGCAATTGGTGAAAAAGTTTCATCATAGTCAATCCCGTGGACTTGTCTATAACCTTTTGCCACCAGTCTAGCTTTGTATATCGATATATTTCCATCTTTGTCTGTCTTCACTTTGAAGATCCATTTGCAACCAATGGGTGTATAACCCTCGGGCAAATTCACCAAGTCCCAGACTTGATTTTCAGACATGGAGTCCATCTCGGATTTCATGGCCTCTTGCCATTTTGCAGAGTCGGGGCTCGTCATAGCTTGTTTGTATGTCGTTGGCTCATCACCATCCATGACTAGGATGTCCTGATCATCAGTTAAGACAATACCGAGGTATCTGTCTGGTTGAGATCTTTGCCTTTGCGACCTACGTAGGGTAATTGGTTGAGCATTTACATTGTCTGTTTGACTCTGACCAATCTTGTCAGATGCTTCCAAAGTATCTAGATTGTCAGTTTTGTCAAGCTTACATTGTTGCTCGTCCTCTCGAACTTCATCGAGTTCGATTTTCCTCCCACTTGTCATTTTGGAAAGGTGATCCTTCTCCAAAAAGACACCATCACGAGCAACAAACACTTTATTCTCGGATTTATTGTAGAAGTAATACCCTTTGGTTTCTTTTGGATATCCCACAAAGAAACACTTATCCGATTTGGGGTGAAGTTTGTCCGAAATTAATCGCTTGACATATGCTTCGCATGCCCAAATCTTGAGAAAAGACAACCTAGGAGGTTTCTTAGTCCATAATTCATATGGAGTCTTTTCAACAGCTTTTGACGGAGCTCTATTCAGTGTTAGTGCTGC